AAAAAAAAAAAAAAAAAAAAAAAAAAAAAAAAAAAAAGAGGAAAGGAACAGAGATTTTACCGTCCTCCATGACCCTGAAGCAAAAATTGTACTGTGCTCTTCTGTGTGCTGCTACGTTTGACCCATCAACATTATTGTACCAAAACCCACTCGGTGAAGAAATCAAGAAAGCCTAGAGAGAGAAAAAAAGTTAAGGGAATCTTTGTGGGCTGCATCAAATATTAGATTAGATGCAGTCCGGATACTGTCGGTCTTGAAAAGTTTCTTGATTTTGGGCTGGATTTTGAGAAGAAAAAACAAGAAAATCTTCCAAGGTGCATTTTTTTTTTTTTTTCCTTATTTTGTTTGATTTGTTCATGTTTATCTGGTTTTAGTTTTTTCAGCCTCAGAATTCATCTTCATATTTGCTCGCATTAACTGCTTATTAATATTCACACTCAAGGCATTTAAAAGTTCTTAACTGCAGCCAGATAATTATTAAAGTTACGGTTTTGTGAAGCCAACATTTGGTTCCATAGTGTAACCAACCTTTTATATACAATAAATAAACTTATTATATTATCTGATTACTTTTTTTTCGAAACGATAGATTAAATAGCACTAAAAAAGGATGTACAAAGTTCGAGAGCCAACTGGCCCAAATGTAGAGAGCTCCTACACAGGAGGATCACCACAGGTGTCCTAGAGCAAAAAAATGGCATAATTAAGTAGCAGAGACAAGCATTGCAGACTACCTAATACCTGCCAAACCCAGCCAAAGCAAAACCATAAGGCTATCTATTACAACTCAAAACAAAAGCACCCAACAACAAGACAATTGACATAGAGAATAAAACTAAATTAGAAAGCAACCACTGAACACTCAAGGAACCTAGTTGTTCTCCAAATCAATTTTGTCCTCTAATTGAGAATTCCATCCATGCACTCACAGCAATTTACACCACATCCTTAGCAGGTCTCTGGATTTGATCAAACACCCATTGATTCCTAGCTTTCCAGATTTCCCATAAAATATATGCTGTAAGTTGAAGTCTGTCTTCAGTTGTTGGTCCTTTTTCCATTAAGCACAGAGAATTCCACCAGCACTTGAAGTCTGCATTTTGTTGAATCAGTCCATCCCAGGTAACAGGTGAGAGTTTCCAGATCAGTTTAGCTCTATCACAGTAAAAGTATAGATGTTCAGTGGTTTCAGGGCCATTACCACACGCTTTGCAAATCAAATCAACTGGAATTCCTTTTTTGCTCAGGTTATAATTCACTGGAATGAGATTTGAATAACATTTCAACAGGAAATGTTTAATTTTCCCCTTGATTTTCAAAGACCAGCTATGCTTCCTGACTTTTCTGCCCACTTTCTGCTCCAAGCTACTCTCTGGCTTATCCATTTGACCCCATTTTTCTCAAACCAACTTATTGTAAGTGGATGCAACTGAAAACTCCCCTTTAGCATTCCAATCCCAGATCACTCTATTTTTCTCTTCAGGCTTCAGACTTTTAATGGCTCTGATTGCCTCAACCTCAGAATCAGAAAACAGAGAATTTAGAAGCTCAAAATCCCAATTTCTCCCTGTACTATCCAAAAGTTCATTAACAAAAGTCAAAGTAAATAACACTAATATAATTTTATTAATACGGTATGTTTACGTATTGTATATAAAAAGTTGGTTCCACTATGGAGCCAACTGTTGGCTTCATAGCAAAACCGTGCACTTGAAATACTTCACAAGTACAAAAGTTGTAAAGAAAATCACAATTTTTTTTATGCAGGGTACGATGAACATCTCTCGAGTATTTTTTAGGTCACTTTTTAATATGTTTAAAGAAACCAAAAAAAAAAAAAAAATCTGGAGAATTTTCTTGTCAACGAGTTGGCAGGGTAATATTAGACCATCTCCAATTCTTTTTCTAGGATAAATTTTACTCTATTTTAAAGTAGAAAATGCCAAAATTTAACTTTCGTCTCAAGTCGTTTGCATTTTATTTTAGGTTGAAAACACAAGTGGAAAAATATCCGACTTGTGTATTCTTTTATTTTTATTTTTATGTTTTCACTTGTGTTGTCAACTTAATTGTACACTAGATTGGTGATAGTATCATTTTTAGTGTCGGACCACTTTTTCCAATAGTAGTGATTGTTGCTGTGTTACAATTACGGCAAACAGTGTCTGGTCCCTTTTTTTTTTTTTGCTTCCTCTAACACCGGTATTTATGCCTCTTATAATCTTATTGCATTATATATGTATAAAAAAAAAAATATAAAAACTAATACTTTTACATAATTTTATAAATTGTACATTTAGCCCAAGGACTGAATTGAATTATATTAAAATATTTAAATTTGCAATCAAGTCCTAAGACTCATCAAATTCTCAAAGAAGGTCCCTACAAAAACCAGTTATTCCCTCAACACTTTCTTCTCCACTACACATACTGGAATAAGCCTCTCTCCACCCTCCGGCCAGATTGACGCTCCTTGCCTTTCAGTTGAAAAAAAGAAAAAAAAAGGGAATTGAATGAGTCTCTTGACCGCCCCAATCGCCGCCGTCGACCCACGCTGGTCCCAGTGGCCGCCGCCCGGGGTGTCGGACGCCATATCCCTTACAAACGTCGTCAACTTCACCCTCTTCTTCGCCCAACCGTGTCTTCACCATCTGCTTTCCCCAAGATATCGGAGCGCTCGAGGGGAAACAACATTGACATTTGTCAGCGGTGGCGACTGCTTGCCCGGCAGTGGCGACGGCCGGACGGCGGTGGTGATGGACGTGCCCACGGTGGATGGTGGCGGCACCACCAGTGCATGAAGTTTTGTGCGCGAGTTCTGATTTTGTGCATCTAATGTGTGTGTTGTGTATGTACTGTGTGTGCGCGTGTGTGAGAAAAATATTGGTGTGGGTTGGGTGATAGTGATAAGAGACAATTTGGGACCACATTTAATTTTGGCTGCACGAGGCCATTAATAAGGTGGCTATGGTGGCTTTAATTAATGATGGTGGCTGAAATTAATGTTGAAGGAGGCTGAGCAATAAATTGCAGCCGAAAGTTGCACAAATTCTGCAGCAACTTTGCACATTTTTCAGCTATAAATAGGAGCACAATTTTGAAGCAAACCACAACAAAAATACAGCAACATTTCAAGAGAAAAGAAAGAGAGAGAGAGCTAAAAATAAGTAGCCTTTGTGTGTATTTTTGAGTTGTGAGTTGTGAGTGGTTTCGAGAGTGTTTTGTAAACACGAGTGTATTTCTTTTTCCCAATAAAATATCTGCAGTAGTCCGGAGACGTAGGCATTATTGGCCGAACTCCGTTATCAATTTGGTGTGTCCAATTTTTCGTTTTTATTTCACTTTTATAGATCCGACTTCATGGAAATTTCAGCGTATTTTTCTCAACAAATAGTGGCCATGTGTCAAGGTAGTATTGGATATGTGTGAGTATTGGGTGTGGGGCCATGTGTTTATAAGAAAAATATACCCTAATGATTATCAAAATATATGCTTTTTTTATTGTTGGATTAATCAATTTAACGGTTACGGTGTATTCTTATTTCTTTCATTGAACATTATTCTCACTGGAGCATGACCTTGTATATACGGTACCGCTGATCTGCCCACGGTGGGCAAATATTAATGTGTCCACCACCTTACGTGGCATGTACACCTCACCAAGTCTCTTTTTCTCCCACACCCCCAATTTATCAATTATTTTCCTTTCATCTCCCTGACAGATTTTTTCTTTTTTTTTTTTTTACAAAAATATTAAACTGACGGGCGAAATTGAATTGAGGCCCCGTACCAAAATCAATCGGCTTTGAACTTGACTGCGGACGAAATTGCCGAGCTATACCGCCGACGAGAGAAATTGCCAAGGTGCGAAAATCATTCGGCTTTGAACTCAATCGGCTTTCACAAAATTATATTGAATTTGAAGTTCTAAATCCTATTCTATCTTGCTCTGTCATTGATTATTTACGTATACATTCATGTTGATATTTTTTTCTTTTCCTCAATACATTCCTGTTGATTAATTAATATTATTGAAAATATTATTGATTTAAATAATTGGTTCTAATAACTTATTCAAAGAATTTAGACGAAATTGTATGTAATTTACTTTGAAACATGATCTGCCATACTGAGAGACTATAGAGGAAGATTATTATCTAATTTTTGTTCTTGGCCATCTTCTTTCATTTTTTTTAAGTGAAAATAAAATCATAATTTCACAATAATTGGCTATTTGGAATGGGGAAAAGAAAGCTAATCAATTTACTTTGATACATGATTTGCCAACAAACTTTGTAATTATTCTTCATTTTTTTTATGTTGTTCGTATGTAATTTTTGTATATCCGGACTTGTTATTTCATTTGAACACTTATATTGCAGGGATGGACGTAGAGCAAGACGAAACGTTATTTTTTCCGCAAGTCACTATTGGTGCGACACCAAAATTTGGTCAACTGTTTCAATCGCTTGAGGAAGCCTACAACTTTTACAATAACTATGTCAGGCAAACAGGATTTAGTGTGCGAATTGCTAACAATAAGAAGATTAAAGAAACAAACGAGGAGGTCTGGAAGATGTATGCGTGTAATAAAGAAGGAAAGACAGATGAACTGGCAGATTAAGAAGAAAAATATAGCGATCAAATCTAAGGAAAGAAAGCGTGGGCATACTCGATGCGGCTGTCAAGCTAAAATGAGCGTGAAAAAATCCCGGAATGATGGCATGTGGATCGTTAGTTGCTTTATTGAGCAACATAATCATCACCTCACGACTCCAAGTAAAGTGCATTTGCTACCGTCACATAGGATTGTCTCGGCAACCAAGAAGGCTCTGGTTCAACAATTCTCTAAAGCTAATATTCCAACTAGCCAACAGGTAAGATTATTTGAGATAGAAGCTGGTGGTCCATCAATGATCGGTTGCCTAGAGAAAGACATTAGGAACCACAAAAGGGACATTCAAAATGATCTATATGGACATGATGCCGAAACATTGATCCAACACTTCGAGATGGAGAAAGAAAAAATGACAATTTTTTTTCTCTTATGAGGCGGATGATGCCGGTGTT